CTGAAAAGACTTTGAACAATAGAAAATTGTGAGAAACGTCTTTTATGAAACACTGTGTTATTAGCAACCGTTTATTTTTATTTATTTGTTTTTTTTTTTTTTTGCACCACCACTTATATGTTTGATCAAATAAAATTTTTTTTTAGTCAACCTTAAAATAATCATCAATAACTTTGTTCAGAATTAAATAAAATTGAGAAAAAATTATTGAAGTATTCGTATGTGTGTGTGTGTCTCCACATTTATGTTCGTGTCAATGTCAGTTGCAAAACTGAAACATCGACAAAAACAAAATGCACAAAAAACAGGCACAATATTTATGCATTAAAAAAGAAAAAAATATTTAGAAAAAAAAAAGCCTATAGAAAGTTGCTAGTATAAAAATGAATAAATAATTAGTGTAATGACAAAAAGCCGTTATCATTGCATCAACGTTGAATTGAACAACGAATTCCCTTCTTCTTCTTCTTCTTCTTCTTCTTCTTCTTTTTCTTGTCTTTTCAATTCCTGTTTCCTCCTTTCCTGTTTGTTGGCCGCCTGTACTATAGAAGCATTCAGTTATACCATTCCTTTTAGCGTCCAGAACATCATCTAGAGCACTGGTGACGACGAGGTTGATGACAAAGATAACGGTAATGCCAAAAATGATTATTAAGAATGAAAATGACGATGACGGCAATAATAATGCTGAGCAAAAAAAGTTGACTAACAGTTTGTCAGAATACTGAAAACTGACCCCCTGTTACTTTACGAGAAACTGTTTATGAAGATTATAAAAGGTTATAAAAAAGGTTACAAAGAATCCAAAAACTTAGAAATCAAGTGTCTAAGAATGAAGGCTTGACAATGCAGCTTCTAAAGCCGGTAGATGACGACGATAATGACAATGGCGACGATAATGCCAAAAAATGATGATTAACGATGACGACAACTACAGTAAATATGGCAAGCATAAAATTGGCTAACCCTATCCCCAAATACCGCACATTTAGATCCCACTACTTCGCTGAGAACCGTTTGTAAAGATCATAAAACGTTATGGAACTCAGAAATTTGGAAATCAAGCATTCAGAGATAAGCAACTGACACGATAGCTTCTAAAGTCAGTAGACAACAGCAAATAATACTGAAATGGCTAAGCGTTACGCTTTTATTAGCTGAAGTGAAAATTATTCTGCCATTTTATCTTATGGCAATAATCTTCCAAAAATATTTCACTAAATATATCTGAACTGATGATAATGTGAACAGCAGAAAAAAAGAGATCCTTTTCGCCAAAAAAAAAAAAAAAAAAAAAAAAAAAAAAAAAA